ACCGTAATTAAAAATTGAGTAATGACATTAGTGAGAATTATCAGAATTATGCTTGGTTGAGTCAACGAGTAATTCTTGCCGCAAAGAATAATGATGTACACGCACTGAATTTCACCATTCAATCAAAAATTGCTGGCGATTTGGTGACATACCAATGATTCCGACTGGTCTTCCGTTTGACTTCAAACGATTGCAATTTCCAGTTTGCCTTGCGTTCGCAATAACAAGTCGCAAGGCCAATCGCTTAGTGTTTGCGGGATAAATTTCAAATAGATTATTTAGAAAATCATTGTTTTTCACATGGGCAGTTATACGTTGCCTGTTCACGAGTTGGAAAACCATCCGCTTTGTTTGTGTTGACGTCAGACCAAAAAAACCAAAAATATGGTTTACCAAAGAGCACTTCAATGAAACGGATAATTTGCGGATTCACTTTCATTTACTTAGAGAAGTTCAACTGAAAAACACTTCATTTTTGTAATCGAAATAAATTCATTACTGTTGTGCAATAAAGACAAATTTTTCCTTTTCAAATATAAAACAAACAAAAAATTTCTTCATCTTTCTCACGAAACCATCTGGTAGCAAAACGGAGTTTGTCGGGTTTGCTAGTTTTGATATGTAATTTATAAAGAAAAATAGAAAATTTTATCATTACAAAGTGTGAAGTGTATATTATATTTTTCAGGTGTCTCAGAGCAAACACTTTATGCCAAAGTCGACTCCAGGTGCAGAGAATTGGGTGCTCAAAGATTAGCCTATCCTCCAGTCGTTGCAGGAGGAGAGCGAGCAAATACAATACACTACATAAACAATAATCAAGTCGTTAATGACGGTGAAATGGTCTTAATGGACGCAGGTTAGTAATTTCATAATTAACTTAATTAACATATATATATATATATATATATATATATATATAATTTTATTTTATTCCATTTTCCCCAGGCTGTGAATACCATGCATTTTCCAGCGACATAACCAGAACTTGGCCAATCAATGGAAAATTTACGGATCCCCAAAAAATTTTATATGAAATTGTGTTGAAAACTCAGAAAGAAATCATTTACAATATGATGGCCGAGGGATATCCTACATTGGATTCGCTGTTTACAAGAATGTGTTTGTTGCTGGGTAAATATTTGCAGGAGGAGGGAATTATTAAAAAAACTGTACCAGAGAAGGATTTACCAAAGGTAGGTACTAATATTTATATATATATATATATATATATATATATATATATACACCTAAGTCTGTTTTTACGCGGTCTTTTTGTACACGGTTTTGATATAACACGGTTTGAAAATTGAATATTTTTAATTTTTTTACACGATTTTATTCCATTTAGCACGATTTGAAATGTTTTGTACTTAAATTTTTTTTGTCAAATTTAATTTTTGTGAAGTATGTTGATATCACAAAAATGTATTTATGAAAGAAAAAAGTCTGAAACCATCGATAGTATCGATAGTTTGCGAACACTAGCTTAAAGATTTAAGTGAATTCGCCTTTAGCGCGTACAAACAATTATTATTATTATTATATTATCATATTACTTTTAACATTAGAGTGCATATCTTTTTTATCATTAATTACTATGCTTGTGAAAATAAGCATTATATATTTGATTTAATAAAATAAAAATGAATTCTTGTTCTTAAAAATTCTTGTTTTTCACTCATTTTAATAGATTTTAGAGATTAGGAACAAATCACCCATTTTCGTATAAGATCAATGTCTTTTTTTACACGGTTTTCTTTTTTACACGGCTTCTTCTGGAACCAATCTACCGTGTAAAAACAGACTTAGGTGTATATATATATATATTAGGGTGGTCCTTAATATGGATGTTTTCGAATTCCTTTGCTCCCAGGGGCTAAAATGCTTTCAAATTCATAAAAAAAACTATTCTCTTAAAGTTTTAGCTCTTAATATTAACATTTAGATAGTCCACATCTCAATTAAAAATTTTGTATATTTTTTTAACATACATCATTAAGTAAATTCTTGCGCCATCTGTGATAGCAGACTTGTAATTTTGATGGCAATTTCTTGCTGATAATTTGAGTGTCAAAATCACCAATTAAATAAATATTTTGCAACAAAATTAATTTTGAAGCCGCGATGAATAAATATTTTGTTAAACAGTCCACATGCATTTCATTAGAATTTAAGGATTTATAAATATTGTTAGTATTTGAGTTCACAAATGCTATCACAGATAGCGCAAGAATATATGGTAAATATGAATATACAAATCTTTTAATTAAATTGCGCATTGTCTAAATGTTAATATTGAGAGCTAAAACTTTTAGATAATTTTTTTTTAATAATTTGGAAGCATTTAAGCACTTGGGAGCTAAGAAATTCGTAAATGTCCATATTAAGGAACACCCTTATATATATATATATATATATATATATATATATATATAATATAAATAAATCTGTATGTTTTATTTTATTTTAGCTTGCCTATAGCTTCTGTCCACATCACGTTTCACATTATCTCGGCATGGATGTACATGACACACCATTAATCCCAAGATCGATACCGATACATCCAGGCATGATTATAACAGTTGAACCAGGTACCAGAATATACATATATTAGTATTAATATTATAAATGTTATGTCTGAAAGCATAACAGGAGCATGGTTTCTGATGGCATTATTTATCATTGGTTACCCTTCCTTCCCTTGTTTATTATTATTAGTATTATTCACATTTCCAAATTTTATTCTACTTCAATACTTTCCGGTAATATGCTTTGGCTTCCTGTTCTCTCGTGTAAGTCATCAATCATAGATAAAAGATTTGTAAATACCTAGTTTGCAAACACGGCCATAATGCCATTACATTAATTTTAATTGTTTACCCATTCCATAGGGCGCCACTAACTGTAGCACGTAAATTTACCCCTAGGTTCAATTCTAGATAAAATTTATATAAATATTTGAATTGGAAAAGGTAAACCAGATTAAATTAAATAAACTTTTAGTTTATTTAATATTCGAGAAATATTAAATATTTTCAACTAAATCAAAAATGTGTTTTCATAAAAATGTTAAGCGTTTAAGTACATGTATCATAATTATAGGTTTGGGCACAGGCGACCCTCTGTTGAGTGATGAAAATAAAACACATTTGTTCTGTTTATTTTCTGTTATCAGTCGCCTGAATTTTTCTCCATCCTTCTAACAGGGCCGGTCCTGGGGTCCTTAGCGCCCGCATGCAACTTTTTTTCTAGCGCCTCCCCCCCCCCCCTATTAATTTTTACCGTTTTAACAGTTTATCATTAAAATTATATAAATATTTACATATTTTTTAAAAATTAATTTTTAATTATTCTGGATTTAGTACACAAAAAATAGATATCTAGAAGGGTATAAAATATATTGATTTTAAATTTATTTATTTCACATTTTAGTAATATTCAATATGTAGTAAATTGGTTAAGGATGTAAGTTCGACTACCATAGAATTAATATTAATAAAAAGAATTAATATTTTTGTTAAAGTTATAGAATTTAAAAAATGCATTTCAGGAATAGTATTAAATTTAACAAAATATTAAGTGAAATAAATAAATTAATTTTTAATTATTCTGGACTTAGTGCACAAAAAATTAGATATAATCTAAAAGCGTATAAAATATATTGATTTTAAATTTATTTAGAAAATCGAGGCGATTCGGGGGTTGATTATAATCAAGTATTTTGAAATTTTCAATCATTTTTAACGTATGTACAATATTAATATTTGAAAAAACTAGCATTTAATTTTTAAACATAACACTCGTATTTCATGTTGGATTTTTAAAATTTTAATTTAATTTAATTTTTCATCATTTACAATATCCAAAATTGCGTCGTAAACTTCTCCTTATTCAGAGTATCAACTTGTTGTTTTAAAGTTAAATTTTTAACGTATTTTAGAAGTATTGTTTAAAAATCAGTAAAAAATGCAAAGAAATTACACATTTCTTGAACAATATTGAAAAAGAAAACTTATTATATTTGATATGTATAATTTCTGTATAGTTAATAATTATTAAATTTAGAGTATGGACACCACTAGGTATAAATAATAATAATAAAACAAGCCTTAAGATTTTCGTTCCAAAGTAAATTTTACTTCCATTTTTCATATTTGTTCCACGCATGTCTTCAACATTCAAAGTTGCGATTGCAATTCATGCGGAACATTTGCAACAAAAGCAAAAGTTACAATTCAATTTCTCGGAATAAACAAGTCATTTTCTAAGCACTGATTCCCCATTTTTTATAATTTGTTTATATTTTTTAACAAGTTCCGATTCAACTAAATCAGCTCGCAATTTTTAGTCAATAATGCCCAACAATTAATTCAATCTTTCGCAGGTTCGCGCTAATAATTTCTTTTTCGATTCCACGGTAACTTCAAACAAAGAAACAATTGAATAAGTAGATTAGGCAATAAACAGAGCTGTTATTTAATAATTTACAGAATTATTAATCGGTTAATTGTTTCTACTGATATCACATTGCAAAATAAATACGCTTTTTGTGTCTCCGTATCCCTAGTTAAGTTGAATATTTATTATACTTTATTGAGTATTCTAGATTTTAAATAAATAATTCTAGATTTTATATAAAAAAATATAAATATTATATTATAAATTTAATTTCCGAAACTCGTTACGGCGTCCCCAAGGCTTGCGCCCGCATTTTTTGCATGCAAGGCAGGACCGGCCCTGCTTCTACATCTTGCAGTCTTTTTATTTTACCTTCCACGACGTGGTGCTGCAGGCACTATTTTTTCAATACCGTTCCGGTCCAGTTTTTTTTTTCTTTACATTATGGTGTTTAGTCTTTGTCGTTCATGAAAACAAATGTTCTTTTTGACATCAAGAGGTATCAAATTTGTATTATATCGATTAGTTTTTAACATTTCTCTTCCCTCGATGTACTCACGAATAACTTCAATTGATATATTGATTATCAATATTATATTTATATTAACTTATCATGCCACTTATATCTCGTTTACAATTCATTTACAATTTCCTCTCTTCCCCGAAGGCATTTACATACCCGAGACTCGACTGGACGTCCCGGAACAGTTTCGTGGCCTGGGTGTGCGCATCGAGGACGATATATTGGTGACCAATCAGGGACCAATGATATTGACCCACTACTGTGCCAAAGAGATTGCCGATGTCGAGAAATTGTTCCAGTCGAAATTGAAGTGATTTTGTACGTTTGAAAAATATATCGATGAAATATGCAGCGTGTGTTTTGTTATGATTGATAATGTATTTTGTATTGACCCTATTGTAGACCTTATAATATATCGAGTGCCTAAGTCGAGCGCAAAATAAGTGCTTAACTAGTTGTAAGTGGAATTCTGTCTTAAGGCAATTAGGGCATCGTGCCTTAAGGCAAATTTCTGGAACTTCCCGTACCAAAAATTATTATTTTTTTTTAAAACGATTAACATTTTTGAAAAAAAATTACTTTGAAAAAATAAGATTTTTGAGAAACTATAAATTGGACAAAAAATTAGTTTTTTTTGAAAAAAAAAAATTTTTTTTAAAAAATTTTTTTTTTTTGAAAAAAAATTTTTTTTTCTTTATTTTGACATATTGTGGAAGATCTGAACTTTTTTTTCAAAGCAATCGTACTGCTTTAACTACATAGGGACAAAATATAAAGCGCGTAAGCGCCGCGTCGCTGTCTAACGCATAAGCATTGGTACGGAACCGATAGGAATGTTAACAAAATGTATACTTATTGTTAAAATCTCTATAAAATGTCTGATAATTTGATGTGCATATGTCTAATGATCATTTTTGACCGCCAAATGGCTCATTTTTTTACTTTTTCCTCTATATCTCCGAAACCGCTGGACCTACCTTCATGAAAGTTGTATCGATTTTTCATCTTGTCAATACATGTTTTTTGAATTATTAAAATCCGACGCTCCGTTCTCTTAAAAACTGAGTTACCGTTTTCGGAACTTTTTGCCCCGTATCTTCGGAACGGCTTGACCTGCCTTTGCCAAAAACTAATCAGCACGTCTCCTTATCAATACGGATCGAATGTTTTTTGAATTATTCAAATCGGTTGATCCGTGTTCCAAAATCGTCGACGAAAATTTGTATCCGCACATACATACACACACATACATACATACATACACACACACATACACACACACATACACACACACACACACACACACACACATACATCCATTTTTTCTAAGGTATGCCAAAATGTTCAGAAACCTCTAAAACGTAAAGATATATAAAAATTTTCATTTTCGATTTTTTTGCGATTACTATAACTTGCCCTACGGGAAGTTAACTAGTGGTGTATGGCATCGTACCTTAAGGCAAATTGCTGGAACTTACCGTACTGTAATGAAATATTCGAGAAATTTTAGACGTTTTCAAATATATTATTACAAATACTGTAACTTTCATTATTTTTATGCTATCTTATTGTTACATCTGAGCAAATCAAATGTAAATCATAAATCAATTTATCTCCAGAACATTAACAATCGTCATTTCATTTCGAATTAAATTTCAAAAAAAAAAGTAGTTGCCTAATTTGCACAAAATTGAAAAAGTGCTCCTGTATAGTCACAGTCTAAACGGGATCTCTCAAAAACTCAAAAAATCTTTAACACTTGACACCTTAAAAATGACCTAAAATTCATCGCTTTACACTGGAATACCCCCTTAAGCTAAGACTTTGGTACTTTTCTACTAATTAAAAAGAAACGGCTTGGCCGATGGTCACGCAAAACTATTCTAAGACGGTCCTCATCAAATGCATATAAAATTTTTGCAATTGGTTTAGCCATAAATCATATAAATACCCTAGGGTAACACCATTGATCACGTGATCGATTTTTTAAGGATTTTTTCTCTTGGTGATAAGTGGGAATATTAAAAATTAGCCCCCTCCCACCAAAAATGACGTGCCTTTTTAGTTACGAGAAAAAATTATACACTTTTTGATTTTTTGAAGTAAAACTTCTTTAGGCGTTACGGCAGAACTGTGCGTCATTCGCTCTCGATGACATCATTTCTATACGGGTCGATCGTAATTAGTAGTCGTGTCGAGTGAATAGAATTCTCTCGTTGTATGCGTAACGGCATCAACGTTTTATGCGCTCCGATATCAACAAGAAAATAGGCATTGATAAATAAACATTTTAAAGTTACATCGTAGTACAAATCTTGATTTATTGAAAAATGCCTGAATCAGAAGAATATTTTACCCAGTTCCTTGAAAATAATAAAACAAATTAAACATTTGTGCCGTGTACTAAACGTAAGTTTATTGATTAGAAATTATTTCTATATTATTCGTAGTTTCTATAAATCTTTGATGTTATTAAAATGGAAAATATTTTTAGGCAAGACAGATATTACAGCTGTTCAAAGAATGAGATTATATCGCCAGCGAAAAAGTAAAAAAAATACAAGCAGTCAATGAATGTATGTTAATTTTAATTGCATGAAGTTCTTCAAACACAAATATTAAATGATGAGTGAAGTTGCGAAAACAATATTTGTTTAGGCGTTGTTTAACATAATCCACTGTGTGAACAAATATTATAGAATTTATTAATCAGCAATTACTTCATTTCTCTAATGAAGATTCATTTCTAAATGCTAATTACAATGACGAACCTTTCCTCCCCTAAAACCTTGCGTGATTAATGGACGACCCTTAACATATTTTATCAAATTTTGAAGACAAAAGATTTAGAATGACTTTGAAACATAAAATTGGCAAAATTGTATTTTTGGTGAAAACATAAACTTAACTTTCGGGTTATTAATTTTCCATACATCATTAATATCGCGGAACCCTTTTTGGGTAATTAAATATAAATTATTTTTAAAAAATGACAAATAACATTTATCTAGATACCATCACCTAATCACTCAAATTTCGTTGTTTGTCCAAAATTCGACACAAAATTTTACGTTTCTACAATCACCATCAAAGCGTTTCCTAAAATACACCATAAACAAATATTTATTTTCCAAATTGCATTGTAAAATCAAACACAGAATATAATTTTTAATTTCTCCTATTTTTTCTCATAAAACAGTCGAAGCCGAAAAACAAACGACGGATCTTTTATTTATTTGAAATCTACGCAATCAAAATTTTTAGTAAATTTTCCTGACGTGATCTTTTTCTCTAAAATGTGATTCAAAATTTTTTCAGAGTATTATTTTTTGCAAAAACTGAGGAAACTGAGGATCTTTAGTGCAAAAAATTTGACGAGATGTTCGCGAAACTGCTCAACTGTCAAGGGGCGACCGTGCGGGCACTTTGGCACCAGCATGCTGGCCTAAAAAGTGAGATAATATATAATAGATTTAGATTAATGTGTCTGCAATTTTTTAATATAATATATTAATATTTACCGTTTGCCTAAAAATAATAATTATTGTTTTTTAAAATACTCTTCACGCCAAAATGCATATACATTTATAACATGAGCGATGTTAAATGTAGAACTGCTTTAAATAAAATGATGACGACTAAATGCCCACACTATATTGGAAATTGAAGCCTTTTAAACGGTTAATATAACCATAACCATAACATAAAACTGGTACTTCATGTTGGATTAAATTAATTTAATTTTTTATTATTTAAGATATCCAAAATTGCATCTTAAACTTCTCCTAATCGATATCGTGAGGGCCAAATTGTATACATTCATCTTTATTCGCCCATTTGTTGTTATAAAGTGATATTTTTACGAATTTTAAAAATATTGTGGAAAGATTAGTAAAAGATGCTAAGAAATTATATATTAAAAAAAAAAACTATATTGAAAATTTAATATCCGAATCTTGTGTTGGCGCCCCCTAAGGCGTGCACTCGTTTTTCGCATGCAGCGCATTAAAGGTAGCACCGGCCCTGAATAATACTTAATTTCATATTTTAAGTGAATTAATTTGTCATATCCTGTTCATATGTGTATCATTCAATCTGCCATGCATATACTGTATCTTATATTATTTTAATTTCTGGCACATCTTACCTGCTTTTTGGCAATAATAATGTAGTCATTTCATTTTCTTATTCATATTCGCAACTTATTCATAATCATAAATTTATTGTACATATTCTAATATTGTCTAGGTTCATAAGTAAATTGAAATTTTTGGCAAATGATAGTTTTCATTTGTTTTCAATGCAAACAATGATATGTCGTTTTTGCGATTTTTGCCATTTATTTCTACAATATTGCACATACATCCCAGTACTTTATAATCACATACATCCTAGAAAATTTCCTTAACAAACTTCAGAAAGATTTATCAAAATCCGAGTAATCGTCGTTCAGAAGGAGTATAGAGTGAGTGCTTGTGATTTAATATGAACTTTATATAATAGCAATAAAGCTCAAATTGATTCTACGTTTTAGTTAGAAAACGTTTGTATGTGAAAAAGAGAAGGTCTGTTGTTAGGGTTTTCCCGGCAATTATTCAACTTTTTCTCGTCATAATAACCATCCTTGAACTTGAACGAACATTCTAAAAGAAGAATTGGCCAAATTGGTCCGGGCGTTGTTGAGTTATGCGCTTACCAACACATTTTGCGATTCATTTTTATATATAAGAAAAGAATCTGCAATGATTTACTACAAAATATAACATAACTTCTATGAAGGCGCTATCGCAGGATGGCGATCCTTCTCACGCAGACAAATAATATATAACTGTAACAAATGTAGCTGAATGTACTTTGTATAGCTTGCTATGAAAAATAATATATATATATATATATATATATATATATATATATATATAATATTAATATAAAAAATTTTCCATGCTCTTCCCATACAAACTTTGATTGAATTGCGCTCTATCTAAACGATAATATTAAGAGCTAAAACTTTCAGAGAATTGTCTTTTATCAATTTGGAACCATTTGAGCCCGTGGGAGCAAGGAAATTCGAAAATGACCATTTTAAGGACCACCCTAATATATATATATATATATATATATATAAATATAAGATATTGCTTTATCGCATGTATTTCTTTTTTCAATTAGCATCTTCTTTACGATTTGAACGAACCACACACAACCCAACCACTGCGTCCACAAATGCAGCAGCTGGTCTCGGATCTTTGACGGCTGGTGCAGCAGAAACAGCCAGCCCTAGTCCTTTGCAGCCGACGCCTCCGATCGCCTTTCCACCGGTAGATAAAAATTACATATCAAACTATATAAATATATATATATATATATATATATATATGTATATTTGTTTTTGTTCTAACTATTTTATTTTTCACCCTTAGCCGTCGCCTATTCAGGGAAAACCTGAACTCATCCCCGGCATCGCCCTTACCGAGTTTGAAGAAAGGCGATATCGTTTACTGGATTTGATCAGATCTGCCAGCGATGTCAGGAGCAAGGACAGCATCAACTATATTGTAAGACAATAATAACTTTATTTATATAATATATACTAGCTGACCCGGCAAACGTTGTTTTGCTAAGTAAGGTATATCCTAAACAATTTCTCTAGAGAATCAAAAATATTAATACTTTGAGTGTATACGGATGTGTTGTATGAATGCTATATACAATGAGGTATTATAAAAACAATAAACCCCATTAGTTTGTCTATATTTTGTCAATACAATCAAACTGGAAGTTTTATACACTTTCTATAGAAAACATGGTATAATCCAATCCAAGACATTTTTAGTCGTTCGACTTATTGATTACGTTTCAAGTTTTTCAGATTCTTTTTTGATTCAGGATTTTGGGTATAATTATAAATAATACTACTGAGCTTATACAAAATTTTCAAATTTTGCGAGGAGAGATAGAAAATGAATTAGGTATTTCTTCTTTGACCTGCTTTTTGAAAAGTTTCTAGTAACATTCGATGAGTTAAAGTAAATTTAATAAAAAGTATATATGTAGAGCAGGGCGAGGCACAAAGGTCCAATTTGACTTTGAGCAAATATTAATTATATTATAAAAATCAAATCAATTATATCATATTTCAAACGAACAATTATCTGACTACATTCAGTAAAACTACCAGCTACTTAGTCATTGTAAAAATGTGTTTTTTTGATGTCTTTCAAAAATTTGTTATCTAGACCTTTTTACCCCATAGACGGGGTAGCTTGAAACAGCCAGGTGGCAAACAGGTTTAATGTCTTATTTTAATTTTAAAGATATTTTACAAAATACACTTTTAACTAATGCTAAAAAACTACCAACGGAACAAAATGCTTTTATTGTGGATTTTCAAAGATTACTTTTTTATATTTTTCTTTCAGCTAGGGTTTTTTATTTCACTTTATGCTCGTCAGTAGAGTCCTTTCTATATTTTTCATTTTTCTATTAAATTTGCTCGTCAGTAGAGTCCTTTTTATATTTTTCATTTTTCTATTAAATTTGCTCGTCAGTAGAATCCTTTGTATCAATTTTACTTTTGCTCGCCTGCAGAATTTTTTTTTGTATTTTTTATTTTTCTATTGAATTTTGGTCGTCAGTAGAGTACCTTCTTATATATTTTGCATTTCTTATTTAATTTGCTCATCAGTAGAGTCCTTTTTATATTGTTGTTCTGAGTCCTTTTTATATTTTTCTCTCAACAATTCAATTTGCTCGTCAGTAGAGTCCTTTTTTTAAATATTTATCTCCCGATAGCAAAGTCATGAGAATCAAGGTTATAGCTGGTTATACATTTTTTCCCTCTACTTTCAAATATTGTTGTTAAACAATGCTTAACTTTACTGGTCTTTGACAAATCGGTGTTGGACCTTTTTAACCCCGGACTTTCATATATTACTATCCATTCTTTGATAAATTCTGGGAAATTATAACTGGGAAAATGTTATTTGACAAAATGGTCCCTTTGATCGATACCAAATTTAGGTTCTGAATTTGAATAACATAAATAAAAAATAATATAACCTAGAAAATGTTTTATAAATACCAATGAGTATATAATTATACAAATGAGATCTTTCAGAGAACCGCGTTTGAGAAAAACATGCCAAAAAGTGCATTTTCATATTAACATTTCAGAAAAGTTGATATTTTGAGTTTCTAGTAACACTTGCGATCCGTTTAATAACGTTTTTGTATATAAATAAAACTACAAACGAAACTACTTACTACAAATTAATCATAATTAAATAATATTCACGTAAAACATCCTATTATATGTAATTGAACATCATCTGTCAAAAACGTTTGACATTTGACGTATTAGCCACCGTCCATTGTTTTATTCAAATGACGCTTCTACAAAAATGTTCAAATTGCAAATGTAAAGTTTGTACGCGATTTTGAAATAATATCTCACCTTTCCGACAACCTTACTGATTGGCACGAATTTTTCAAGACTGGCCAAATCGGTTTAGCTCATTTGGATCATTTTACCGAGAGCTCCATTTTTATATATAAGATAATATATTTATATAATATAATATTTTTTCTTAGGTGGTTTTGGCCTCATCGGCGATGAAATTCTCGGCCGACCGCACCCCATACAGTTTCCGCCAGAACACAGACTTCTTGTACATGACAGGATGTCAGGAACCAGATTGTGCTCTGGTTATTCTGATGCTTTCTGGACGTATGCGCAGTATTATGTTTTTGCAACCCAAAGATCAGCCGATACCGCAATGGGGCGGCGTCCAGGCCGGTGTCGAAGGAGCCCCTATGGCTTATGGGGTTGACGAGGCTTATCCCTACTCGCATATCACTAGCTACTTGAGCGGGTAAGGGAATAAATTGATAATAAATACAAAATGTATTTATTTCACACTAGACGACCCGACAGACCTTGTCCTGTACCCATGTCTACAATACTTTTAATTTAATATACTAATATTTACCGTTTACCTAAAAGTAATAATTATTGTTTTTTAAATCACTCTTCACACCAAAATTCATATACATTTTACAGTATGAGCGATGTTAAATGTAGAACTGCTTTAAACAAAAAGATGAGTCTCAATTCCCACACTATATTAGAAATTGAAGCCTTTTAAACGATATAGCATAACCATACCCATAACATAACACCGGTACTTCATGTTGGATTAAATTAATTTAATTTTTTATTATTTAAGATATCCAAAATTGCATCTTAAACTTCTCCTAATCGATATCGTGAGGGCCATATTGTATGTATTCATCTCTACTTTCCCATTTGCTGTTATAAAGTGATATTTTTACGAATTTTAAAAATATTGTGGAAAGATTAGTAAAAGATGCAAAGAAATTATATATTAAAAAAAACTATATTGAAAATTTAATATCCGAATCTTGTCTTGGCGCCCCCTAAGGCGTGCGTTGGTATTTTTCGCATGCATCGCATTAAAGGTAAGACCGACCCTGATTAATACTTAATTTCATATTTTAAGTGAATTAATTTGTCTTATCCTGTTCATATGTATATCATTCAATCTGCCACACATATACTGTATCTTATATTATTTTAATTTCTGGCATATCTCAGCTGCCTTTCGGCAATAATTATGTAGACATTTCATTTTTCTTATTCATAATAATAAATTTATTATACATATTCTAATATTGTCTAGGTTCATAAGTAAATTGAAATTTTTGGCAGATGATAGTTTTCATTTGTTTTTAATGCAAACAATGACATGTCGTTTTTTGCATTTTTAACTTCCCGTAGGGCAAGTTATAGTAATCGCAAAAAAATCGAAAATGAAAATTTTTATAGATCTTTACGTTTCAAAACCTTCTGAACATTTTGGCATACATTGAAAAAAAATTGATGTATGTGTGTGTGTGTGCGTGTATGTATGTATGTGCGCATACAAAATTTCGTCGACGATTTCGGGAACACGAATCAACCGATTTGAATGATTCAAAAAACATTCGATACGTATTGATAAGGAGACGTTCTGATTAGTTTTGGCGAAGGCAGGTCTAGCCGTTCCGAAGATACGGGGCAAAAAGTGCCAAAAACGGTAACTTAGTTTTTATTTGTATTGACTAAATGAAGAATTGTTCAAATTTTTGGAAAGGCAGGTCCAACGACTTTGGAGATATGGAGGAAAAAGTAAAAAAATGAGCCATTTGGCGGTCAAAAATGATCATTAGACGTATGCACATCAAATTATCAGATATTTTATAGAGATTTTAAACAATAAGTATAAGATTATAAATTTTGTTTGCATTCCTATGGGTTCCGTACCAATGCTTATCCATTAGACGGCGACGCGGCGCTTACGCGCTTTGATATTTCGTCTCTATGCAGTTAAAGCAGTACGATTGCTTTGAAAAAAGTTCAGAATTTCCAAAATATGCCTAAATAAAGAAAACATTTTTTTGTCAAAAAACATTTTTTTTTTCAAAAAAGTAATTTCTTGTCAAATTCCTAGTTTGTCAAAAATCAAATTTTTTCGAAGTAAAATTTTTTCAAAAATGTTAATCGTTTTTGAAAAAATAATAATATTTGGTACGGGAAGTTCCAGCAATTTGCATTGAGGCACGATGCCTTAATTGCCTTAAGACAGAATTTCACTTACAGCTAGTTTCCATTTATTTCTACAATATTGCACATACATCCCAGTACTTTATAATCACATACACCCTAGAAAATTTCCTTAACAAACTTCAGAAAGATTTATCAAAATCCGAATAATCGTTAAGGAGGAGTATACAGTGAGTGCTTGCAATTTAATATGAACTTTATATTTATTTATTCATTTATTTATTTATTTTAAATATATAGCCCACAGATTACTCCAAGAGGACTCAAAAATACAGTTATTTTACATAATGAATAACAATTAAAACATATACAAAATTACAATATATAGTTATTAACATAAACTGCTTACATAAAATTACATATAATGCAGAATGTAACAATATTATTTATAGACAGAATAAGATAAAATAATGAGATATTTGAAAAGAAAATAAGACGGTTAACTTGTGCAGATGGAGATTATTCGATTAGGTGAAGTGTTGTGAATATCTATTTCTATGTAATAGCAATAAAGCTCAAATTGATTCTACGTTTTAGTTAGAAAGCGTTTGTATGTGAAAAAGAAAAGGGCTGTTTTTATAGTTTTCCCGGCAATTATTCGATTTTGTCTCGCCGTAAGAACCATCCTTGAACTTCAACAAACATTTTAAAATAAGAATTGGCCAAATTGGTCCAGACTTTGTTGAGTTATGCGCTCACCAACACATTTTGCAATCCATTTTTATATATAAGATTTTTTATTTTCCAGTTTATTGAAATCCGAGCGCCGCTTTTCGATGTGGTTCGACGAGCGCGAATGCGAACATCCTGGTACTGCCAAAGTCCTGGACGAGGCCAGACGCAATCATTCGACAGCTCTATTTAGATCACCAGCTGCTCATGTCCAGAAGATGAGGCTGGTCAAATCTCCTGCTGAAATTGCCATCATCAGACGGGCTTGCGAGATTACGGGCAAGGCGTTTAATAACACTATTGCAGCCAGCAGACCAGGTAAGGGATAATAATAATACTAATAATTTAACACACTATGATAAACCTGAGCTAGCTTTGGAGAGTTTGAACAGTGATTCAACACTGAAATTATTTACTTTACAATTAAAATGTTTAGAATCCCTTTACAATTAGGATGCTTATAAGCTTTGAAGAATGTTTACAAAATGAATTGATTGATACTTCAGATTGATGAATTTCTTTGAGTATTTCAAGTATGAATAGAAATAAATGTATAAAATTTTTTCCAATTTTTTTTAATCGTTTTAATGAGCAATATGTAAAATAGTTTCAGCACTTAATGCTTTGTAGACCAGTAATTTTATTGAAAATTTTTCATGTCACCGGCTATTACATTTTAAAACTTATTTTGTACTGGACGTCTTAAGAGTCATGTTATCAATTTCTTTAAATGATTCACTACTCCAGCCAATGGAGCGTTTTGGGTCTAATTTTTTTTACTGTACTTCGATTTGCATGAAATTTTGGAATAATTTACACTCCTTTTGCCTCTCACTGGTGCAATTTTATTCGTTTTCAAAATAACGGCGGATATCGATAAAAGAAATAATTGTAAGAAAAAAATTATTTATAATGTATTTTAAGCATATACTTTTCAAGTAACTGGCTACTAAAAATTAATATATTTTTGGTATTTTCTTTGTTTTTTTTTGCAAATATCTCCGAAAATATACATTTTAACAAAAATCATCAAAAGAACAAAATAATGTCAATAAAAATCTTGATAAATCGGTGTTTTATAAAGCGTTATATGAATAATATTAAGCTAGATTTGAAAGAGCAAAGTCGTTCTTTATTTCGTTCAAGATTTAATTGTCGTATTTGAAGCCATCTATCGGCGAGGTTTTACATTTTATGCATTTCACTGAAATGGGGTTTTATAGTGCTCAAAATAAACTTTAAAATGAGTGATGTTGCAGGTTTTTTGCGTGTAAAATGAGTGAGCTATCATGCAAATAAGAGGCACGTGCAATGTTTTAACATTGTATCATATGGTTTAATGAGCGCCATTTCCACCAAAATTAAAGTTATTTTCATTCCAACTAGAATTCACTTCATTATAGAGATCTTGATGGATTCTAGCAGATTCACTACTTTAGTACAAACTATTTTCAGAAAACTCACGATTTTATACAAACTTTTTTTTTCAATTTGCGCGGGCGCGCAGTCTTTGAACATTCATAACTCTGTCAATTTTTGTGTGAAAGAAAAATAATAAAAAACAATGATAAGCCAGAAAGATTCCTTTGATTTATATCTATATGCTTTTATACGTATCTTTTATTCTTTATGAGATATAATAAAAATAATATCGATTTTTAAAAAAATTGGAAAGAAAAGTTTTTATAAAATCGTGAGTTTTCTGAAAATAGTTTGTACTAAACTAGTGAATCTGCTAGAATCCATCAAGATGTCTATAATAAAGTGAAATCTAGATGAAATGTGAATTAATTTAATTCTGGTGGAAATGGCGCTCATTAAATCATATGATTTTAAAAAAAAAACATCGTATATGCTTCTTATTTGCATGATAGCTCACTCATTTTACACTCAAAAAATTGCAACAGCACTCATTTTTTACTTATGTTGAGCACTATAAAACCCAATAATGCATAAAATGCAAAACCTCGCCATTCAATGGCTTTAAATACCACAATTAAATCTTGAACGAATAAAAAACGACTTTGCTCTTTCAAACCTTGATTAATATTTTTCCTGAAACACTTATGTAATACCGATTTATTAAGATTTTTATTGACATTATTTTGTTCATTACATGATTTTTGTTAGAATGTATATTTTAGAAGATATTTGCAAAAAAAACGAAGAAAAACGCCAAAAATATATGATTCTTTAGTGGCCTGTAACTTGAAAAGTATTAGTTTTTTTGAAAAACTATAAAAGACATTTTTTTCTTATAATTAAGTAGTTCTTCTATCGATTTCCAACTTTATTTTGAAAAAATGTAATTACACAATTGAGAAGGGGTGTCATCCCCCGAACCAGAATTGTTTTCACTTTTGAACTTGAGGGTAAGATGAACCTAATTCGAAAATTTCATTCAATTCGGAGCACAGTAAAAAAATTCAGAGGTTAAACCCTTTTTTCCTCTCCGTTTACTGCACCACATTTTAAAACTTATTTTGTACTGGGCGACTTTTGGTCAATGTTATTGGTACATTTGTCCTTTACCTCAGGTATGAATGAGCGTGCAATCCACGCCCGAATTGACGCCGAGTGCCTAAAATTGGGAGCAAAACGCCTGGCCTATCCTCCAGTTGTGGCAGGCGGTGCCCGGGCTAATAGAATACACTACACAGACAACAATAGGCAGATCGCCAAAGGAGACTTAGTGCTTATGGACGCAGGTTAGATAAAAAATATAAAACCACAGATGTCCTAGATTTATGCGAATTTATTCAGAAAAATGTTATGGCAAGGCCATGTTACGCTCCGACTTCCCTACATTCACAGTAATCACAGTAATAAGTATTAGTTGATGTGAATTTTATTACGACAGAAGATTCAATTTTATTAAAGTGATAATTAACTTCCCGTAGGGCAAGTTATAGTAATCGCAAAATAATCGAAAATGAAAATTTTTGCATTTCTCGACGTTTCAAAGGTTTCTGAATATTTTGGCATACCTTAGAAAAAATGGATGTGTGTGTGTGTGTGTGTGTGTGTGTGTGTGTGTGCGTGTGTGTATGTATGTGTGGATACAAATTTTCGTCGACGATTTCGGGAACACCGATCAACTGATTTGAATTTTTCAAAAAACATTCGATTCGTATTGATAAGGAGACGTGCTGATTAGTTTTTGGCGAAGTCAGGTCTAGCCGTTCCGAAGATACGGGGCAAAAAGTGCCGAAAACGGTAATTCAGTTTTTAAGAGAACGGAGCGTCCGATTTTAATAATTCAAAAAACATTTTACTTGTATTGACAAGGTGAAGAATTGATCAAATTTTCATAAAGGCAGGTCTAGCGGTTTCGGAGATCTAATGAAAAAAGTATAAAAAAATGCCATTTGGCGGTCAAAAATGATCATTAGACATATGCACATCAAATTATCAGATATTTTATAGAGATTTTAACAATAAGTATAATTTTGGTTCACATTCCTATGGGTTCCGTACCAATGTTTACGCGTTAGACGTTGACGCGGCGCTTACGCAGTTTGATATTTCGTCTTTATGCAGTTAAAGCAGTACGATTGCTTTGAAAAAAAGTTTAGATCTTTCAAAATATGTCAAAATAAAGAAAACATTTAAAAAAAAAAAAAAAAAAAAAATTAAAAAAAAAAATTTTTTTTTTAAAAAAAAGTAATTTTTTGTCAAAATTTTATTTTTTCGAAGTAAATTTTTTTCAAAAATGTTAATCGTTTTTAAAAAAAATAATAATTTTTCGTACGGGAAGTTCCAGCAATTTGCCTTAAGGCACGATGCCTTAATTGCCTTAAGACAGAATTCCACTTACAGCTAGTTTTATTTAATACAAAATGCTGATTTATTTCTGTGATTTAGGGATATATTTTTAACATTGAATTTGAAAAAGCACCGTTGGGCATAAATATATTCCAGAATGCTTTTGTAGAGAGTAGTGCAACAATATAGATTATTAACCAATGTTAATCTATAAATTTATTTATAATTCACTTCTAAATATTCAACATGATGTTCAGTTTTTGATAAATTTAATTTAATTTATAAATATTTTGAATAAATAACTGATTTTGTTTCATAGATCATTAAGAATATAAATATGATATTATATTTATTTTGTGGAGAAAGTTTAGCATGACTAGTTCATTAAAGTGTACCTTGTGAACTCCTTTCATTTATTAATTGGATGAAATGTCCTGAATATGTTATATATAGTGATTTTAATATATATTTAATGTAAAATGTAATTA